AATATGTTAAAATGTCCGATTGTGGCATTTTAATCAATAGATCGATTCGATTTCGCATTTTTAATCATTAAAAAACAACAAATCATGATTAGTTACCCTTTCAAATAATGACATCACACTGTTGATTGTTAGTTTGTATGCGTAAAGGTGTATTCCCGTTATATACATAGCACACGTTTTGCTACTTTAAGTAAACATCGGAATAATGAATTCTAACGATGTGACCAAAAGCGTCAGACAGACTTTTTTTCTAATTCGCAACGCGTCAAAGTTAACCACGCGGTATCGAATGAGAGAGACTTTAAAAATCGATATTCCGAATTTGATCTTAGGTGAACATGGCGTCACAGTGTAAGATCCATAATAGAATGCCTCGTTTTTTTTCACTTTTTCTGTCTGCTGAAATGATGATTTATAATTTGACATGGTTCCACTCCCATCCTGTTTCCGATAGTTATTGATTAAAGCGATTGAATTACACACATCTAGAGGCTCGGAGAGACTGCCCGATTCAATGTTCCGTTCATTTCCTTAGTGCTAATTTGTCCGTATTTACTTTATGAAAAAGATAATTAACACTGTATAATTTCAATAAAACAACTGATAAAATATTATGGGTCCTTGTGTTTGTGTGATTTTAAAACACAAATATTTGACCCACGACAGCTGTCATCGCTCGTATATGTCATCATGTGTATATATTTTTTTATAAACAAACCAAATAAAATGTCACATCGAAACAACGATTTTAGGTTGTTGCACCGTCTTGTGAAATGTACATCGTTGTTCACTACATTCAAAAGGATATGTTGGTACATTGTATGAAATTGATTCCGTGGTATTTACACAATGTTTATTAGCTCCAACAGAGTGGATGTCCATTTCACAGCAATATAAACGTGTCGATTTCGTTTCATCACTAATATAGCGGAATAGTGTAAACTAGCATAAACGTTTGTAATTGACAAGAAATGACCCTGAACCGGCATATCAAGTTGTCGTGTTGATAGCAATTGGCATCAATCATCAGATATTATCCACTTTGATTTACGAAGAGTTAGATAGATACCTCTGTACGGGAATAGTGGCCTCTTTGTCGCGTCGTTTTCTGTCATACGTGGTAATACATTTCATAGGTGCAAGATCATTAATCAGGAACGAGAGAAGGATTCAATACCCAACATCAACCTGTCATTTTTGCTCTCTTTCGGGATAACTCATCTTATTACAGAGACTGTATTATCAGAAACAAATTGGTCACACTGATGTAATATGGACCATATGTCTGCTATGCAGTTCATCAAGTTAATCACGAAGTGCATAATCATCTATTTCTTTTGATCTGTAACGAAACACATGTCTTCTGCTACGTCAGTGTTTTGTATTAGCATCTCCCTTATGCCGCTTCCTTCTGTATGTGCGATGACATATATGTGTTGACTTATTGTGTTTCCAACTCACGTACAAACGTATCTGCGATTCCACAACGCTGTACGCGGTGAACTTAAAAAACGTTTTATTAGCTATACATATGTAGCTATACAATTTTATAAAATTGAACGAAACAGATATATAAATTATATGTAATATATAGAAATATATATATATATATATGTAATATATAGAAATATATATATATATATGTAATATATAGAAATATATAGAAATATATATATATATATATATATATATATATATATATATATATATAATAAAATAATAAAGTCCACGTTAGTCCATCATCTTCTTTATATCAGTTTAACTGATACTGATATAAAGAAGATGATGGACTAACGTGGACTTTATTATTTTATTATATATTACATGTACACCGAGTGAACATTTACCTCATTTTTGTGTGTATATATATATATATATATATATATATATATATATATATATATACTCTGTTACACTGATTTGGAACTGCAGATATGAAGCTGCTTTGTTTTATGCAAGCAATTATAATTGATTATAGAGATATACTTATATGTGGCTTGAGAAATACAGGTAGGTAAATTAAGTATTTCACAGCCCACAGTCACCGCACAATGTCCTTAGGAAACACACACAATGGTATATACTGTGTACGATCGACGGTCGTGGTTTCAGAGCGACACTTATACGTGACAATGAGATCGTTGGCGCGAGGCCTTTCATTGATGCCCCAGCTCCCGCCATGCACTCGAGTTACGGTGGGAGTTCGTGAGGTGCCCAGTCAACCGTGGTCCCTGTGACACGACGCGATCTCAGGTGCGAATAATCGCACTTATTGACATTTTTCTTATCATTGCTTAGGGCAAAAATTGTAATTTCTGTGTTTATAATTTCGTTCGGATCAGCGATTTCTTAACCTGAGTGATGCTTCCTATCTGAAGCAAACATCAGTGCCTCGCATCCACCTCGCCCTTTGGGACCTTTTATGTTTCTTTTTTTTTGTGATAGGGTAAAATGACGGTTTGGAAAGACGGAAATAATGTGAAAAGAATAATTTATTTTTTCATTCAAATCTTTGTGAATATTATTTTTGTTAAAAGTGATGCAATGTGATATAAATGTATACTTACATATACTTATACATATAATATCAATATACGAATATATATAAACGAAAGCAGACCCAGTGAAGAGAACACTTTGGAACATTAATAGGTCCATAAAAAACAACTCGTGAATTATGAGTGATCTTGCAAATGTACCCGAAGACCTTATTTCGATTCCACCCAAGTTGTACTCGTCCCCTACTAACTCCCTGTTACAAGACATAAATGAGTACCAGTCACCCCACGTCAGGCTGTGCTGTTCCGTGGGATGTCCCCTCTTGTCAACAGCAACCGAGATGATCCTCAATCCAACTATGTTATGACAATAATGAAACGGACAGGTCGACTCAATTAAGCTGTTGTAAGAGAGTCCATTAAGAGCAGAGGGGGTCTGGCGAGCAGAAGGGGTCATCCCAGTGAACAGCACAGCCTGACAGGGGGCGACTGGAACTCAATGATGTCTTATGACACGGAGCTTGTGAGTACTTCATGGATGGTGCCCTGATTTCACAATATAAGTGTCGTGAAAGACTTTTTGATGAACTGAACTGAACTGAACTGAACTGAACTGAACTGAACTGAACTCAACTGAACTCAACTGAACTCAACTGAACTCAACTCAACTCAACTCAACTCAACTCAACTCAACTCAACTCAACTCAACTCAACGCAACTCTATACTATAATATGTACACCTTTTATCCACAATTTGTTTTTAATCAGTGTAAAATGTTTCAGTTTGCCTGAAACGCTTTCTAAGTTTCACGTAAACAGCTGTATGAAATACACTCGCCTCACACATGTGTTTGACAAGGTGTTCATTTCGTTAGGAACACTAATATCATTGTACATTTCAAAGTGACAGTAAGTGAAAATATCAAAATGACTATCAATTTTCACATTAAGTGAACTCTCGTACGCATTTTAATATTTTACTGAGAAGTCGTGAATTTTTTATTCGCTCTTTGTGTATACGACACTGAAGCTCAAAATCCATCTCCATCGTCTGTAAGTTCAAGATCGGAAAGAAAACCTGACTTCAGTTGACAAACACACGCTCATAAATAATTCGGCATAATACGTTTGAAAATAGACTTATTATAATTTATTTCCTTTAAATCAAATATAATGTGCTGTGTAAATCCTTTAATATTTATTCGTAACACTTGAAGACGGATCTTTGAATTTAAAAATACTTGAATGACATAGGTCATTTAAATATTCATGTTGTAATAAATAATAATGTGATTAGAAAAAATCTAAGACGTCTATATAAAACATGCATGGATTAAAATGTTTTGACGCTGAAACTGTTTGTGTATTCAATGTGATTTGTCATTCATTTAAACCTGACTGGCATACGTGCCACATTAATTATATTATATAAATGAAAACGACAAAACCCTTTTCATAATCTTAAGATCGCTCTTCTAAAAGCATAGTCCACCGTAGGATCCTTATGATATCAGTGAGTGTGAGTGAGTGAGTGAGTATGGTTTTACACCGCTTTTAGCACTATTCCAGCAATATCCCGCCGAGGGACACCAGCGAAAGGCTTCACATACTAAATCATAAGCATGTGTTTATGCATCACTTTCAAATAGTGATGATACCAGGTGTTCGCGAAAAGGTGAGCGTATCCTGCTCTGCTGGTGGCAGCCGTCACAATCGCACACAATTCTCATCTTTATCTTCTATTCTCGTACTATTTTCAACGCACAATGATGGAGTAAACACTCACATTAGGGTAGCCTCGAACATGCATCAGTCCCGATACGAGCCTCTCCGTCAATCATGAGTAGGTTACATTGCTGAATGTATTTTAGGACTTTAAAAAGATCACAATATAATTTTATGGCAAGATATAAATAATTTCTTTTTAGTTGTGTTATTCGTCTGGATTAAACACCAAATTTCATTTATTATAAATGAGGTTTTACTCATAAAGCTAGATATTTCATTTTACAATTGTGTATAACTTTAACGATACTCTAAGTTTTGATTTATATTTTATGTCAAATGTGTATGTTGCCAAGTAGACGAATGACGAAAAACGCGTTTTTGTCGTGTCTAAGCTCATAATAATATATAGTTAAAAGGTTAAAGTTATAAGCGATTTTTGTGGGTTTATGAAAAAAACTTTTATAATAATAAAGGCGACAAAACCCTTTCCATGTTCATGAGAAATCTCGTTTGTCGTTTATACGATTCCTTTTATATCATAAGCATGTGTTTATGAAGTACTATCAAATAGTGATGATGCCAAGTGTTCGCGAAAAGGTGAACGTATTCTGCACCTGCGATGGCCCTGTCACAAACACATGCAAAGGCAATTCAATTGTTCACCCGAAAAAATACGGAAATATGGTACAAGTCAAAATAGGGACATTATTTTTGTCACTGATTAACATTTTCTCATATATAAATATATATATTGACGTCTTATTTATATTTCAGATGGCAACGATGGGGAGACAAAGAGATCACGCACTTCATACACACGACATCAGACACTGGAGCTTGAGAAAGAGTTTCATTATAACAAGTACCTCACTCGAAGACGTCGAATCGAGATCGCTCATGCACTGAATTTGACAGAAAGACAGATCAAGATTTGGTTCCAAAATAGGCGGATGAAATGGAAGAAAGAGCACAAACTTTCTCACATTGCCAAAAACATGAACCTTGCAAACGCGCTCGAGAAAGTGGCAGAAGAACGTAAAGCTTGTATGTAATGACGTCACACATACGTCACCATGACATCAAATAAGACGCCCGAAGGTCGGGAAAACGATTCGAGGTTATCGTTCCGACTGACTCATCACGTGGTGCAAGATATGTCACGTGACACCCACAAATCAGACGATACGTGCACGTGCAGCTCGTGGCGCCGCGTACGTTGTGGTGAAAGACTGTCATGTGATGTTGTCACGTGATAAATGGAGGGTAAATGGCTTTGTGACGTCATAATTGACGCGGCAACTCAATGTGATAATTGCCTCGGTCAAAATGGGTAATTCTAAAACATTATGTGTAAGTGTACATACTCTCAAACTGAATGCGACAATGTTGCTCTGTATAAGGAGTTGTCATGTTTCTTTGACGAAGGGTATATTGCATTTAATGTAATAAAAGCGCATTGCAGAAGCGGTTCCTATAGCCAAACAACGTACAAAAAAACACCAAAGATGTTTTGGCCTAATTTAAGACTGTAAACTCACTTTATTTCTGTTATTTACCGTTTGATATTAGATAGAAGTAAAGCGCTGACCTGTAATTTGTAAACTACCACTGTAACATCCGATAAAAAAAAATATATTTCTTATTCAATACAAATGTTTATGCTCGCGTATAACTTGCCTTTTTCAGTGATATTTAGCACCATGAAGCTCAGACAATCAAGTTAAAACACAGAAAAACAGTAACTGATAAATAATTTTGAGAATTAAACTAAAAGATATTGTGTAGCATTAAGTTGTATACTTAATTACGCATCTTAGGTAAAATAAACATGATTATTTGATCTTTGTAAACATGCAAATAATAAGTGCATTTCTAATGCGCAAGATTCCATCCACCAAGTGGATGCTCATGGCGCTACACTATTATTACCCCGGTAATTGGAACAGTGAGCACTAGATTTTCATTCTCAGCTCCCTGGGGAGTATACAATTCGAATACTTTCAATATGCATAAGAATAGGCATTGAACGAATGTATTATGGTTTTAACCACCAACTCAAACTAAAACTGTCTATTTCGTCTTAAGAAATATGTTGAATTTTTATAATATTCATGTATTTTATCATTTGTTGTTAATCTCAGTCTGCTGAGGTCAAGATGTTGTAGATAAAAGTATGTATTTTTATTATTATTTCAATTGTAATCATGGCATATGGCGATTTTGCTTAATGCAAGGCGTAATTTAAGTAAGTGTGAATATGATATATACTATCAAATTGACATATCATTTGCTGAATGAGTGAGTATGTGAGAGATTAAGTGTAGATAGGTAATTCGCGATAACAACATGTGCAATTCAGCGTTCAAACCAAAGTCGTGATTGTTTTTATTCCTGGAAATCGTTAGTGCTACTGGTTATTGTAGATTTTCTAAACGTTTTATTATGTACACGCAATATACGGGTTTACATGCATCACATAGATTTCTAAATTCATAATGGTCTTTTTGCAACAACTAGAATAGCACCAATGCAGCATTTCTTAAATGCTATATCAATGAGTGCTCTAGAACGTTCTCCAAACCTTTAATTTTAGACGATCCCTTTTCTATAATTGCATATCATAAATATATGTCACTTCCAGATTAATTACTTAAATGTTGTTTACTTAATTATTAAACTTCTGAAAGAAACACATTCTTTAAATTAAGGTGTAAAATATGTTTGACAATATCCATATTTCATATAGTAAAGATATGTTTTGTTCTGTTTAAGATAAAGGGTTGGAAGTGTTTAACGTTTACTCTAGGCGGTGTGAAGAGACGAAAATGCACAAACTAAATGTCGCGTTGTTTTGTGGGAACGTACAAAGCCACAGAATCCACAATTTCAGGCATAATATATTCAGTGCAATGACCAATGGCGAGATCTTATTGATTTCATGTCTTTGTAAGGCGCGGTAAGTATTCCTGTTTTTTGATGATGATAAGAAAAAAGGGGACTTGGCGCATCTTTAACCAGGGTAAAACTCTTCATCTGATCATTTGTGATGTTTTGTGTATATTTTATGAGAAAACGTATCAAATGGTGTTTTTCACGTTTCCATGGTAACTTACATGCACTTAATTTGTAGCTGCCATTTAGTGCTCGAATATGTCGCGGGAAATGTACTTTGAATCGAAAATTTACTTATTAGTTTGCATGCAAGCTCTGGATTCTGTTTGCAATGTAGATGTATTAGATTTGATGGGAATTAAAATTTTAAATTGATGTTGAAATAAATCTAAATATTAATGATTAAAATTCACCTGTAGCCTTATCTAAGCTATTTCCTTCTTGGAAACACAATAGTTATCTCATTTCGGTCATGGTTGCAATCGTTTGGAAATTCGGCAAATATCGCACATGTCGATCAGGGGTATTGTACAAATCGGTAATGTTAACCTCATGAAATAAATATTCTACCTGCAGGTGAAGGTTTTGATTTAATTACCAGTTAATGTTTCCAGACATTAATTATTTTATAAACAAGTAGTTTCAATTGAACCGAATTGAAAATATGCGTTTCAAAACCCAACGGCCAGAAAACGCATTCAATGGCTTAGTCAGCAAAGTATCAATTACGCAAAATTGATTTTTTTTTTCATTGAAATAGTTTATTATTTTGTACATAAGATACAAGTGAGTAAAGAAGTATATTTCCTGTAGATGTAGATGGAGACATTTTATTGTAACGTGGCTGTATGATATCGTTCCTGTAGTTGACGTCAGTGCAGCGACCGTTCATCGTCGAATTAGATGCGTACCATCTTGTTTTCATCTGTGCCATATAAAATATTACACCTCATTCATTTTGTTGTTTTGTACTTATGATCTATGAAATAGATCCCGCCAATCAAGATGGGAAACTGTAGAAAAAACCGGAAATCCGTTGGCGTGGAGCTACGGAAGTTAAACTGTAGCATGGTGCCTCAGCGGGCTAGCGACTACTGGTATCAGACCGGACTAGTACAAGGAGACACACGCACGCACGCACGCACGCACGCAACACGCACATACACATTATATTGTTTTAGAAACATGGTCAATGTACACATGAACATGATTAATTCTGCTTCCATTAATTATATTCTGATGTGCTGCATCTCTATTAGTGTGTACACATATATACATATATGCATGACCGTCACCACTGACCAGAACCTGCATGACATAAACACGCGTTAAAACGGACATTATAATAATAAAAAAGCAAAAACCGTTCCATATCCATAAGTAATGCTGCATGAAACAGAGTCATCTGTACGATTCCAACCATATCATGAGCATGTGTCTGTGAATCACTTATAAATAGTGACGATACCAGCACTGCATACTGTCGTAGATCATCGATTCATAGGTCACTTGTTGTCTCTTCTTATGTATAAGTCGACATAAATATTATAGTAATAAACCCGAATTTCATCCTATGAAATTGAAGTTCCAATTATTTCACCTTTACCTGACCACCTCGTGTCATCACTATTTCATAGTGATTCATAAATGCCGACTGTCAATCGTACAATCGACTCTGCTTTTAACAGATATTGTTTTATGATCATGGAAGGAATTGTGTTGCTTTTATTTGCAAATATGCCCAAAACAATTGCTTGTTCATTGACTTGTTGTCCTCTGTTGTTATTTACAGGCTTGTTCTTCAACTAAACATATTAATTCCGTCTTTGAATCTCTCCAATTCGATTCACAATTGGTTTTTTTAAAAACCTTCTGGAACACACTTTTCAAAACATGAATGTGTTTGGAGAAACCAATTAGGATCAGAGTAGACGGAAAAGGACACTTGTGGTTGATTCTTTTCATATTTGTATGATGAAAAAAGTATAATATAAAAATTGTCAGTTCAGGTATTTGGCGACGGCTGTAGGAGTTATATACTATAAACTCTCATGATTCAGTGTCACACGCCAGCTGTATTACGTCAGACTCAGACACACGTATCTGTCAACGCCCTTCCACTTGCGTCAATACGCCGGAACAGCCATCAACCAACACGAGCCTGCCGGACAGATAACTTACACAGCATTGCGATTGATATTTATGACAATGAGAGGTCTCTGCTTTATTGAACATATTCCAGCTCACGTTCAGCCTGTGTGTCAAGTTATTCGACGCAGTATTTGTCCTCTTATTCTTTCTAATATATTTCGATAAACTCAATTTTAAAAACTGACGAAAGCACCTTTCAACACATTTTGAACTTTAAAAACCTGGCCACGACAAAAATCTCTTATGCTTATCAAAATGTTAGTTCTCAATACCTTTTCTAATGACATATTTTCGATACATTTAAAGTTGGATAAAGTATCATTCAATATGTGCTGAAACCCAGTTCCACACCTGGTGTTATCACCGCCCTAACAGTTATGAGATCGTGACGTAAAACTGTCGTCAAATTTATAGCTTTTCCGTTTCTATATGAAACAGAAGAATGGTTGGTTGATGTTTGGCATTTTTCAAACTGAAGTTGGTTTCTTCACTATCATTTAAGTGATCTGAGACTTTTAGGCAAGAAGTAGGCATCCCAATGGGCACCAAATGTGCCGCCCGTCTTACTGATCTGTTTCTTTGTGCATATGGAGCGGCATTCCTGCCCGGATTTGCAAACTTTAAACAAGGGAATAATGTCAGGCAATTTAACTTTTAAGCTTGAGGTATGTAAGTGCTCTGAAAGCGTTCCATCACAGTCAAATTTCCAATGCCCTTCCACCGAATTACCCACCTGAACTAGAAATAAAAGAGACTAGAGAAACCACCCCATCTGTTCCATATTTAGATCTATGTATAAAGATTCAAGTGACACAAATCTCTTGACAAGACTGTATGACAAGAGGGATGACCTCAACGTTCCAGTAATCAGTTTCCCTATATGTCAAACATGTTCCAGTAGCTCCAGCCCTTGGTGTCAACATTTAATAACTGTTGAGGTACAACCACAAAGCACGCTCTTTGTACGAATATTTCGATGAGCTTCATACGATTCTTGCTCAAAATTGTTTGATCAAGATACAATATTCAAGACCTCGGTAAAGCTTTCAAAAACGTTAATGGTAAACACGTGGAGGTCATTGCAAATTTGAGGCACCAGTGACAGAAATGATGTCCGATGCGAATCCGTATTTTGACTTGTACCATATGTTCCCGTGTTTTTGTGGGTAAACAATTGCCTTGCCTTGCATGTGTTTGCGATGGGTGCCACCAGTGGAGCAGGATATGCTCATCTCCTCGCAAACACCTGGTCTCCTCATTTTTGTTTATTGATTCATTAACACATGCTCAGGATATAGTCGGAATCACACACACTGACAACTGTCAAACGTAGACATTCCGTTTGATCATGTTAATTATCAATAATTATCATTAACATTTATTTCAAATCAACCACTGTTCATTTGAGTCTTTGTCTGGGTTTGATGATCTGATAAAAGGTTGGTTTGTTGTTTAACGCCACACTCAGTTATATTACGGCGGTTTGTAAATAGTCGAGTCTGGACCAGACAATCCAGTGATTGATTTCATGAGCATCAATCCACGCAATTGGGATCGATGACATGCATCAACCATGTCAGCTAGCCTTACCACCCGATCCCGTTAGTCGCCTCTTACGACAAGCATAGTCGCCTTTTACGGCAAGTATGGGTCGCTGAAGACCTATTCTACCCCGGAACTTCATGGGTCCTGAGAAAAGGTCGAGCATACATGCCTGAATAGTCAGTCTGAAAAGTCAGTCCACCTGTCAAATATTTGGCTAACATATAGTCTATGAAATCGTTTATTACATAATACATGTTCCTCCTCTAAAATTAAAACAAGTAATGTTCCTGAAACTTTCATATGTGAAAATGGAGCTGGCTAGGCTTGCTTTTATATATATCTATATATCTGGTTTTGTTTTCATAAAATATATATATTCCACAGTCATGGTGCAGGGCTAGTCAAATATTACACATTCTGTATATACTACTAAAAAGGCGTTACAACCACCTGCTTTTGTATGTGTATATAGTTAATCCGTCATGGATAGTGGGTATTGCAACACACAGCCTCCCAGTGGGCGTTCTTTCACTTGTTTTGAGTAGTATACACATAACGGAGCTATGTATTAATTCACCATATTGACCTACCCGACTACTGTGTAATAGATGTCTGCCCGGAGAGCGGAAGGTCGGTGGTTCGATCACCTGGCTGCGTCATACTAAAAGACGTTAAGATATGGTACATGTTGTTGCCCTGCCTGACGCTCGGCATGAAGCGGCTAATACAATGACTGGTCAGCTCGGAGTCAGTATACTGTGTCTGAGTGGGGTATTCATGGTCACTATGAGACTAGCGTAAGTCCGGACTAGTACAAGGCGACACACGCACACAGCACACACACCCCACACACACGCACACGCACGCGCGCATACACACCTGCACGCAAGACGCTGTATAAGTGAAACAATCTTGAAAGCGTAAAACAGTTGACAAGGAAATGCATTATACCACACACATACGAATGAGTTGAGACATTCGGACGTCTGCAGACAGTCTAACATCGTTAATTAACCTCGAACTCATGCCAAAACCTCGTAGTGCCGACAGAATGCGTCTTCTCAATATGGTCCAACACGATACAATGAACTCGAACTACGGATAAATCAATAGATATTCCATTCTTCACAGAAATTGAGTTGACGTGGTTTCACGGCTGGATGTTATTTGCATGCGTCAAATACATCGGTAGTACCATTGCCACCAAACCATTTTCCCCGTCTCTAGTCTCAATGTAACATGGACTCTGCTTTTAGAATTCTGATGATCATGGAAATGGTTTCAGTCGTTTTTAGTTAACATTAGATCTGCAGATATTGACCGTAACGTGTTCATTTCACTTCAATGTCAGTGATCAATCGAGCTTCCAGTTTGATCATATTGGCTGGGGATCTCAAAAGTCCTACCATGTACCTTGGTTGCGTCTTTGAGTCAGGTACAGTAAAGTACGGTTATAACGAACTCAAAGGGACTACTAATTTTAGTTCGTTATAACCGTAGTTCGTTATAAGCATATATACAGCATAACTACAGCAACTAGTCGGGACCAAAAAGTAAGTTCGTTATATCCGTAAGTTCGTTATAAGTGTGTTCGTTATAACCCTAGTTTATTGTATCTTCAAGAGTGTTCTGTTACGATATGGCTGAAATATTGCCGATGTTACGTTAGATATTGACTCACTCAAGAGTGTTCTTTGTGAGGTTACTTGGAGCAATGGTCGTTTCAGCAAATACTGACCAGGCTTTGGTCTATGTGTGAGTGAGTGAATAAAAATAAAAGCGACTTGTTAATATTCCCGACTTAACATTGTGTGGGTTGAGATTATCAGCTTAACCTGCAAGGGAAGCCGATAGAAAGTGACACATATCGAAGATGTTTTCAATTTTTAGTATGGAGTTGATTTGGATCATACGGAAGCCTTTTACGGCCATTTTTCTTCCTTTTCGAAATTTCTAGATACAAAGATAAAATTTCAAGAAACTTAATTGAACTTTATAAGAGGTTGAAATTTCAACATAAGTTGAAATTTTAAGATTTGAATTTGAATTTGCAACATATGTATCTTGAAATTTCAACTAAGTATTTTGAAATTTCACATAGCGTTTTGAAATTTTAACTTAGTATCTTGAAATTTAAAGAAAAAATAGATAAATCAAGTGGCCCTAATAGGCCAATATCAGAGCACAATCATGGATTCGAACCCATGACCAGTGCTTCATGTTATGTTTGAGAGATGTACATGTGCAGAGATTGCG